ATGGACAATCTCTCCCCAGGAGCTGACAAAGGAAAAGCATTTGATTCATGGTAGTAGGGATTCTGCCCTGACCAGCCTGCAGAATTTGACAGTCCCCAGGCTCTGGCAACCCCACCAGCTGCTTGAAAGCAGTTCCTCTGAAAATAAAGAGTTCAGTAAGCCGAAGAGTTTATTTGGGCCCTGCATCCCATATCCACAGGAGCCCCATTCAGAACACAGGCAGAAGGATGGCACTAGTTGCACCTCATTGCTCTGCGTCTTCTCCAGCACTCTGAGAAAGTTCACTCTTCAATTCTGCCACCTCACTTAGGTCCTGCTCCTGACTCATAGGTCTTTGCCACTCAGGTGACATAGTGACAATCAATCAGACAGTCTTCAGCATGCCTTTGGAGTTGGCCAGTGCCATGCAGTTGTGCACACTGAGGTTATGAGTGGCAGAAGAGATGAGAGCAGCTCTGAAAAGAAGCATTCAGCTTTTGCCTGGGGTAGAAATAGAGACCTGCCATGTATTTTAGAACTTCTGATCCTTAAAGCAAGAAGGTCAATTAAAGGAACAAATATTCATCATAACTGAAGAAATGTTGTTAAAAAATTCTGGTATTTGCTGTGAGGGGCCAGAGTTCAGAACTTCACTAACCCCATGACACTTCATGCTTTGCCATCTGCATCTTTCTCATCTACTCCTTCTCAGATATGGAGGTTGTAACACAGAGTGTTAGCCCTAGGTCACTACAGTGTTACAATGCCAGGGATTTTGCTTAACTACCCTGTTAGTTAAGCAGAAGAAAACTTTGCAGGTTTACCAAAGCAGACTCTACAAATGATCTTCTGAAACTGGAGACACAGAACATTTTATGTCAGGATCCATCTCCAGTCTTACACCTTCCTTCTTTCAGAGTTGAGGAGGTGCTATTGCATTTGCAGCAGGCTCCACTTTGCCCTAAGTGCATTGCAAGGAAGCTCATCATCTGGCATTGCTCTCACAATGCTCCTGCTGCATTGGTCTATGCTCTTGACAGCCCATGCTGTGTTGCTGCTTCTGAAAGAAAGCATATTAACACCCATATACGCAGGAAGCATTTCCTACATGAAGGGCTCTGTCTATACCTTGAGTATAAAAGTGGCCAAAGGATCAGGCAGAGGCACACTCAACCTCCTTGATATGTGCACTTTCTGTGCGGGCTGTTTGTTCCTTGCTGTGTAGGACTCAGGCTCAATGCACTTGGGAAGTGAAGCACTAGGTGAAACTCGCACACACCAGGCTAAGCCCTGCTTATTAGTAACTATTAGCCCTTCTGTGCACCATGAGGTGTTCACGACTCCAACTTCATATGCTAGAGTTAATAGAGTTAATCATAGGCCTGTTATGACAACAGAGGCCTTGAGAAGTAGAGAAACAGGATGTGGTGCAGAGGAGTACAGGCATGGGATGGGAAGAGATAGAGCAGAGGCTTGACTCGAGAAGTCACAGCCTCAAACAATTCAGTTAAAGAAATGCAGGTATGGATCTACACAAAGATGGTTTTGTGGGCAGCAAAGAAGACAAAGAACGAGTGTCTCACAGGTATATAATCAACACACATAGTAAATTTGGAAGTAAAATGGAGTTTCAATGCAATGAAGAAAACACTAGGTGCAAAAACTTGCTAACAATCATAAAACCAACCCCCAGAATATTCCAGAGTGAGGAGGAAGAAACCATCACCGTCATCCTCACATTCCTTCCACTGAAGGACTCCAGATGCTGGTGATTCCCTGTAACACCACCACCGGAATGAAACCCAGATGAGCAAGGGCAGGGGAGCATAGCACCAGGAGTAGGGCTTGAAGCTAGGAAGTGTGTGCATAACAAATTATTATTATTATTATTATTGTTATTATTACTGCTACTACTATTATCATCATCATTGAAACTTTTTCTGCATAGGAGTATTATTTATTTTTCTGTAATAATTAGATCTGGACTTATAATGAAAATTTTTTATTAGAGTGGTAAGATTTCAGTAATACTGACAATAAATTCACATCTTTACATATGAGATATGTTTCTCTTTTGCCCAGAAACCATATGTTGAGCATAACACTGTAAGAAGATCCCTGAATAACTCAGAAACACATTATATTTCTGACAGGCTTACAGTAACCAAATCACTTTACAAGCTGAAGTCACCACCAAAATGTGAAAGATGCATCTGCCTAGGAAAGGTTTAAAGAGCTTCTGGTCTCAATGGGAATAGTAAACGGTGGGGGTTTTTCAGCTTCACCCTTCAAAACCATTGCTGCTCCCTTGGACGCTCTCTTTAGGAGCCAAACCTGACTCTGTTCATCTTCTAGACTGCACTTCAACGAAGAAGGAAGCCACAACAAACACCTTTTGAGTCAGGATACTTTATTTTTAGCCACAGATCAAAATTTAAAGAAATAAACAGAAACTCTGCAACTCTCAATCTTCTTCCAGTTCCTCAGTAAATCCGCGTTAATGTCTTCCATTTCTAATGAAGCCATGTTTTACACATGCATTATGCTTGTGATAAGATCCAGAAATAATGCATTGCCATCAAACAAGTGCCCTCGGCTCCAGCTTTTCTAAACTCCTGAAAAAAACCAAATAGGCCAAAGACAGGGGCCACCACAGCAGGCAGACCTGTGCCATTTAATACGACACAGAGAGGAGCAAACCATGCTAAAGACTCCCCCAGTTTTGTGCTGGGCTTCCTGGGCAGAACTAGAGTGTAACCTGTCATTACAAGACAAGCTGTAATTACAGATGCTTTCATGTGCTGGACATCCTGGACCTGTGATGTAGATGTGATTGCCATAGTCCAATGGCCATTCCTTATTAAGGGATTTCGGCTTCCCTTTTCCTAGGAGATACTTGCAGAATACTTTTCCCTTGACTTTTATGTGTCTCTGCACTAAGTTGTACTCCGTGCTCCTCACAGGACTACCTAAAACTAAACCCTGTGATTAAGAGCATTGTCTAGGTGCTCCTTGAACTTTGACAGCCTTGTGCTGTGACCACTTCCCTGGGGAGCTTTATCTTAACACCTATAGCAGGCAAGGGTTGCTTTTACCCATGAGCAAAGACACAGCAATTCCAAGTTTGGTTTGTAAAACTGGGCCATGTAAAGGGTGTGTGTGTTTTCCCACACCAGCAACATGGAAATAATGAAATCCATGTAATTCCTAGGGTATAGTCATGATTTACTAGTGGGAGAAGCTCTGCGAGAGCTTTACACAAAAGAGTGTAGCCACCGAAATACTGATTCATCTCTTTCCTATGTACCTAAGTTCAAGTTTCAGATGCTTTGGGTTAGGAACTGGGGAAACAAAATGTGTGTCTCCAAGTGCTGGACTAATGCCTGATCCAGAGCATGCTGGAGTCAGTGAGAATCTCCCTTTGCACTTCAGTAGGCTTTGGATCTGGCCCTGAGCATGCACATGGTTTATTGTGACCGTGGGTACAAAACAGGCAATACCATGTGCAAGTGCCTGTGTAGTAGCTTTTCCATGTATAGCCACAGTAATGGTGGGTGAAAACTGGACACATACTTGTTTATTCCAACCATATGAAAAAAACTTCTGCCTAAAGAGAAATATTTGTGCTATGGAATCTAACATCCAGAACTTTGGAAGATATGCTAGGTCTACACCCAGTTTTGTGAGTGGCTTTGGTTTTCTCTTTGGATGACCCCAGACAGCATTTGGAGATGTTCAGATTTGATACTTGAATACTCTCTGCTTTGAATATACCAAATACATGTTTGTCTTCTTGCTAAATGAATTAAAAAAAAAAGAGATTTGCTGTGTTTTCCCTGTTTTCATATCAAGAAGGTGAACACCATCTTACTGAATCTGTTGATTTATCAGACGCATGGAAGCCCTCCTTCCTTCCACACAAGTTGCCATTAAGAGTGTTCAGGTAATTTCTTTTCTGTGAATTTTATTTTGGGCAGGTCCTTCTGTCTCATCCCACAGGCAGTACCTCCTCAAGCCTGTAGAGACCTTGGTCTTGTGTGTCTTACCAGGGCATTGCACAAGTCTCATTGCTTAATCCCACTTCCTCCCATTGTGACTGGCTCCGACCCCAGTCCTGGTGCATGACATCTAAGTGATGCTCAGATCAAAGCTCTCCATCCAACAGTGGGCTTTGGCCATTGACCTTTTGTTGATGTACTTGCTGTGCAACAGAGAGACACAGATACTTCTGTGCTAAACAAAGGCAGGTGTTTAAACTGAGCAATATGCTTTTGCTTTATGACTCTGGGCTATAGTTACTCCACAGATAGTTTGACTTTGTTCTCTGCAGACATTAATGCTGGGATATTAAACATCACTAATGCCTTATAGACAGTCCATTAACCTCAGTGTCTCCTAAGTGGCTAGCCATACCATTATTTGTAAAATAGGGATCCCTTCCTAATGCTACAGCTAGCAATCCCTTGATTTCCCAAGCATATAATCATTTGTGTTATCATCTATGGAGCACTTTACACTGCCACATATTTTTTACTATATAACGAGCTGTGTATGTGTGAGTGACACACACAAAAAAGAGATGGATATTGCTCTTACACTTACTGCAGTGTATGAGCTGATCTGGCTCAACACGAAATGCAGACAGAAATCCGCCTCACCTCTCAAGCTAATTTTAGTCTCTCCCTCTGTTCTCACTAGCTGTGTGTGTATAAAATCACTCGCAGTCTGACAGCGTTCCAGTAACCTGTGCCACGCGCAGAGCGGGATGTACTTACTAACCATCTGCTTGCATGGCATGGGTTAACTGAGCCTGTGGGATTGTGCTTACCTAAACAAAACCACTGCAGTGAGGGGAAAAACAATGAATGGGTGGAGATGATCAGCCCATGCATTCCAGCTAGTGCAGTCCAGGCAGCAATGACAGCCTGAAGGTTGCAGCAGCACCGGGATCTGCATTCCAAGTGCTCAGATCTTACAGTCTGGAGTGATTTTACGTGGAGCTGTTCTTTATTTGCTGAGCCATGGCCAGTAACCAGGCCAGCCTGCAGGATGATCAGAGCAGGCACTGCAAGTTCTTATCCTATATGTTCTACCAGGCTGTGAGGGATCACAAGCCTGTGTGGATGCTGGAAGACATGAGAACTATGGAGTATTTTTACTGGGAGGAAAATGCGAGCCTAAGAACCTACTCACCTTCAGAAGCCCTTCTCTATGCAGTGGTGCATAACCACCTGCCTTATGCTCAATATCTGCTGTCTCATTTTCCAGAGGAGGCTCTCAAGGTGCCTGGGGAACACTTCTGCTATTGCCCATCCTCTGCTCCTCACTTGGCCATGGCGGTCACATATGACAGGAGAGATATCTTGGGGCTGATCATCAAAATTGCACACAAGCTCCCCAGCTTGAACTCCTACATCAATAGGACTGGCTGCTTTCACCTGGAAGATGGGAAAACCCCCCTGCACCTTGCCTGTGAACTGCTGAGGTCAGAGACAGTCCTCATCCTCCTCGGGAATGGAGCTTCTCCCAGGATAGAGGACAGTAAAGGGCTTACCCCGCTGGACGTCATCCTGGAGCAGATGTGGGACTCCAAAGTCAACGTGGCATCAAAGAAGCTCTGCCTTGACTACCTCTTGCTCTTCATGCCCAACCCACAGTTTAAGATGCGGAAAGTTCTGCAGGAACATCCTGACCACTGGACAGCTTTGCTGGGGGAAGACAAATTCAACAGCCTGGTGGGGAACACACCTGCTTCTTTATATCTGCAAGCTATGCAAACTATCCTCCAGACTCTTCCCCCCTCCCACTTCCCTAAAAGCATCCAGGAACTACCTATACCTCAGGCACTAAAGCCCTTACCATCCTATGGCAAAAAGCTACCGACAAAAAACGTGGTAAATGTTTTTCCTTGACTTTATTTTCTGGGTCTTGGATTTTCAAAAGCAACTTAGGGGAGCTGGTCAGCCACCACCCTCTGCATTTTAGTGTGATTTTAGTACTTAACCTACTAGGCTATGCTGGAAAACCCAGTATTTTGTGACAAGATTTTAAATGTCTTTTTTAATTGATTGCAGGCACAGCACTTTTAAAGGCAAAAGCCTTCCCTGTTTTCTGTTGCGTTGTGCATGTGAAGGGTTAAGTGTAGTCGAGACTGTGTTATGTTTGGTTTCTTAGCTGTCAGCTGGTATCAGTGTATCTGAATTCCCAATGTGATCACTGTATCCTGTGTAATGTACCTGGGTAAAAAGGAACTACGTGCTCAGTGGGATTTTCAAATGGTGTAGCTGTGGGGCTGTTTTCTGCTAGAGCTGGGAGAAATACCATCCCATACCAACTGGGTTCAGATGTCAGGTTTCCTTTCCAACAATGATCTAGCATCATCTGGTAATAACCAAAAAGTTGATGGCTGATGCTGCAGGGATGTAGATTAGGTCCTGTATGGTACCTGGGTTTACTGGGTTACTTTACAGCAGGTCATAGTGTGGAGGGTGTGAGTTCAGAGAGGAGGCATGAGAGTTTATTCCTGTGGTGGGGATAAAGACAGGAAGAATAGCATAAGGAAAGCATCCTGTCTCACCTGGGAGTGAAGGGGTTAAAGGCAATCCCAGCCCTGATGCTTGTGCAGACTTGTGCAGTGGGGAAGGAACCATTTTCCCTACTGTCCAGAAAACAAATGGAAATCAGAGCAGTGCCAGCGGAAGCCCTGTCCTTCATAAGTGATATTATTTCTTCCTTGACTTGTGTTTTGAGTTTGAATATTCTCTCCACAAGAGACATAGGTCACTAACTGGATTTCCCAGGGGGTCTCAGAGCATTTGCTAGTTGTCCTAAGCTGGGGCATGATGTTCTGCTGTTAAAAGTTGTCACTTGATCTCAATTAGCGTATTTTTGCCACCCAGGTCCAGACAGAGGGCCTGATCCTGGAAAAGGCAAACAAGTCCCATTGACTCCCCTGGGCACTGCAGGCAGGGGGTGTTTGCAGAAGGCAGGGCTGGGGCTGCCCTACTTTTTGGGGAGCTCTGCACCTCGCTGCCCAGACAGAGTCCTGTCTGTTCAAGGCACTGGTCCTGTCTGTGCTCACCACCAATGGAGCGTTGGCCGGATCCCAACTCGCTATGGGGGACATCCCTTACTTTGGACCCCAATGTTTGCTCTCTTTCTAAGTGCAAGCCTCCACTCTGCTGTAATGCATTTCTCCACAGCCGTGCTGAAGAAATCACTCATGGCTAAATAAATCTGAAGCCAAAGGCCGTGGGGCACAAACCCCTTTCAGCAAGTCTCTGGCTAAGAAAGGATGTGCATTCACATCTCAATTGCTACACGCAAAAAAGGCTCATGTCTCATCTGGCTCATTCCCTGTGCCTGTGCCAAGGTGGCTGTGCTGGAGCTGCACCCTTTTTCCATCAGCACAGTGAGCACTTCCGCTCAGTTTCATTGTGTGCAGGGTATCTCCCGTGTGCCAGGATGCTGGTGATGCCAGCCACGGCCTGGTTGGTGGAGATTTCCTGGGCACAGAAAACTGGAACATCCTTTCAGAGACACAGGGATGCTCTTCCTGGACATCCCTTCCCATGTGCCACGGAAGAAGCTCAGTGCCAGTGCTGTCCACGCTGTGCTAGGTGAGGATGCAGGCTTGTTTGTGAGATGGAGAAAATGCCAGCCCAGCCCCCCGAGTGGCAAGCAGGCCAGGAAGGGGTTAACCCTTCTGAAATCCTGCAGCGTCCTTCCACCCTTGCCCCTGGGCACTTTGTGTCTTTCCATATCCGTGTCTATTCTCCTTGTTCGGTGCGGCAGGGTGTGAAGGGTGGCAGAGAAATTCCGGGTCAGTTTTGGGTGAAGGGTTTGTGGAGAGGCTGCTCCCTCACTCGGCAGCCTCTGCGGCAGGCGGAGGCTGTCACAGCTTGGGAAGCAAAGCAGAGCCCGAGGCAGATTTGCATTAGAAGCAGTGGCTGAGCTGCTCCTGCCAGCCCTCGCAGGCTCCCCAGCCCTGGCGCCCCCCAGAAACCCGGAGCTGGAGGCAGAGGTGCTTGTGCCCAAGGCTGATGAGGGCAGCTCCACGGAGCACAGCCCCTGTGGCACCCCTGGATCTGGAGGAGCAGGATTGGGTTTGTCCCCGCCAGCAATGCGGTATCTCATCCGGGTGGGCGAGAGGCGGAGGAGGCTGGTGATGGATATTATTAGAATAGTAATTAGGCCCTGGGAGCAGATATCCCAGGGAAGAAGGGAAAGGAAGATCAACTGTTACTGCAGTTATTGAGCAGAGCTGGCTCAAAACCATGAGAGTTTTGGTGCCGTGAAGAGTTTCAGAAAAGCCAGGAGGGAGGGGAAGGCTGTTGGACTCAAATCGAAGGAGGCAGGTAGGAATTCTTGGTGTTAATGAGGTAGTACTTTCTAATATGGGGGAAGCTGTCCCCAGAGACCAAGACCAACCCACTGGGAGCAAGTGGGTCTGAAATGCTGCAGGGATCTCTTGTTGACTGTGGTAGTTGTGAATGGTTGCAAAGGTCAGGGTACAGGCACTTCAGTCTTTGTGGGTGGGTTTGTAGGAGGCAGCAGGATGCTTGTGTGCATGTGTTTGTCCGTGTGGGAAGCTACACTCTATCCGCTGGCCCAGACAGAACGTAAGAGATGGATTCTTAAGCAACTGCTCAAGAAACTCACATTCTGGGGCATATCTGCATCTGGTACCACAGCCTGGAAGAAAGCTGCTGGCCTGCTGTTGGCCAACATGCAAAGTGTGCTCAGCTTAGTGTGCAACAGGCAGGTATCTGCACTGGGAAGATCACTTCACAGCCCTCTCATTCTCCTTCTCCTGACCATTTTAACAAGAGATCAAGCACTAGCTGGCCCTCAGCTGCAGAGCTACCATCAGACCTCCGTGTGCAGAACTGCTGGGCCGGAGTTTAGGGCCATTAGCTTTGTGGTGATAACTCTTTCCATTGCCTGTAGCGATGTGAATGCAGGATGAGGCATCCTTCTGTTGGAACAGAGGAATCTTCTGCTGAAACATGGTTTGCTTATCTTGTGGTAACCTGCCTGTTAGTTTGAGATCCCGTTTGTCTTTCTGCTCCGTACAGTGACATTACATCAGGTACAGCCAAATCTACCTCAGCCCCATCTGTGCTGGTTTTTTTATTCCACTGTTTCCAAGACAGATCATTAGCAAAAGTAAACTCAGAATCTATTCTATACTTCCTGCAACCTGACAGTCCATGGGGTCTTGAAAAAACCCTATCTTGCATGGCAAATATGTTAGTGACTTTGTTAAGCAAAAAGGGTGCTAGGTGCTGTGTAGTGATGTTTACATTTTGCATATGTAGGTACTGAGTAAGTGTAGCTAAAATATGTATTTCTGAACTCGGGAAGAAGAGAAGAAAAGGGAGAGAGAAAAGGGAGAGAGTAAAATGTTTGCTAATCTTTGGATTATAAGTTGGCTCTGCAAGTTACATCTTTTTAACTTCAGTTTTGAGGAGTAGCCTTGTGAGGATCTGAGCTGTGTGTATGTGCGTGACTTCAGTTTCAATGACTATAACATCAGTATCACGGCAAATGACTCGTGTGTGTGTGTGTAAGGTGGATGCCTGCGTACACATGTATGTCTCTGTGTGTGTCTGTATGTAAACGCATGGCTGCCTGGGTGCACATATATGTCTGTGTGTAAACACATGGGTGCCTGACTGCACATGTATGTCTGTATATAAAGGTGTGGGAGCCTGGCCGCACATGTATGTCTGTGTCTCTGTCTGCCCTCTCCTGGTAGAACTCATAACTGACTGACAATACTTACCCACCCCAGTACTTGTACGCATCAGTGATCAATGCCTTAAGAAAGCAGCCTTTTCATGAGATAAGTGTGTGTCCCAAGCTCCATGCTGCTAACAGGTAAGGACAGTTCTTCTTCTCCTGTAAAGAAGCAGCAGATGTGCTCTTGAAATGAGTGTTTCACAGAGAAGCTGGGGCTGCCCCATCCCTGGCAGTGTTCAAGGCCAGGTTGCACACAGGGGCTTGGAGCAACCTGCTCTAGTGGAAGGTGTCCCTGCCCGTGGCAGGAGCTTGGAACTGGATGAGCTTTAAGGTTCATTCCAACCCGAACCAGTCTGTGATACTACGATTCTCCGAACATGAAGCACAAAGGCTTCTGCTTGCCAACAACCACAATCCTCCCGTGAAGGGTTTGTGATAGGGGCTACATTTTATTCTCAAATCCATCTTCTTTTTTTTAAATAAAATCTACTAAACATACATCTTTGTCTTTCTTTTCTGTGGGCTGTTACCAGAATTCAGCCACTGTTGACTTCCTAACCCTATGCTTCTGTCTATTTCTGCAGCACCATTAGCAGGAAGGACAGGCCAGATTCTGACCTCAGTTACACCTCTTTACAGCCGAAGTAATGCTTTTTAACTCAATTGCATCACTCCCGATGTTTGTTGGTCTAAAGGAAAATAGAAACTGTGCACTTACATTCTTCAAGGCTCCATAGCTCTGACTTCAGCATATAAATAAATGTGATGCTTCATCCCTGAAAACACTTTTTTACATTTTTCATACTTTGAATGTATATAGATCTATATTTTCCATCTCTCTGGCACCAATGGGCATTTCCCTGCTCCCAGTTCCCTTGGCTTTTTTGGAACCAGTGTGACAGTGACAGATGCTGTTGTTCACTGATAAAGACTGAATGTTGCCATGCCCAAGTACAAATGAATGTTCATTGTATGATACAACTTTCTTATAAAGCCATACTTTTGTAATTTTGGTTTCTTTTTTAGGGGAAAAAAATAATCTTCCATATAATTGTGTTTGTACATTACTTGCTGCATGATTAAAGATAAAAAGATTGTAATGTGCTGGGAATAAAATGTATGTACATACCCTGCTATAATGAGGTATATTAGCTGTGAAAATCACTTA